ATTATAAATAGCAGCCACTTTCTCTTTCCTTTCCAGTAGTACTACTCTGTGGCAGTCTTGTGATGAGCTATATGTATCATTCTGAAAGTTTAAATGGAGCAAAGATCCTTCTTCTCCAGAGATGTGGAGTCGAGGGCTCTGGGTGTTCTGTCCTTACAGCTGTTTGCAGCAGCAGCAGCAAACTAACATGTTTCTTCAGCAGTGACCTTAAGAAAACTTTCCTATTTCTGTAGCCACTAAAGTGCTCAGCCAGACCTTTGAGAATCAGAACAAGTTTTGTGCCAGTGGCAGGGTAGATGAGGTGGTTTGCTGCCCTTTCATCCTGCAACTGCCTGGTGCTGCTTTGCACAGCAGCAGGGCAGCCTGGGTCCCAAAACATTTTCAGGAGCCTGGGTGCAATGCAAAGGGATGACTGTTGGCTGGAACAAGCTGGGAAGCGGTGTCAAGGCTTGCTTACCAGCAATCAGTCTTTGGGTTAAACAGGATGCCACTACAAAAGGTTAGGCCACCCTGCTTCCTCCCACAAAGTATGCAATTTGGGGGGGCGGAGGAATTTCTGACCTGAAAAGGGCAGCCTGGCTCTGCTGCACCTTGCAACAGTGACAGAGATGTTCTCCTTCGTCCTCACACTCCCCAGCCCTGTGGGCAGAAGGCACCATGCCAGCAGCATCCAAAGGGTTAACCCCACCTTAAGTCTCCAGCACTTCCTGCTGCCTAGAAGTGTATTTGGGGCAGATTTGTTCGCAGGAAGGTAAGGAACAAACAGAAGAAAACTTGAGGTTTCTATTGGGAAGTGCCTGTTGAGCTTTGCTGTGGACAGGCTGCATGTCTCTGAAGCAGTCTTTCAGTCGAGGCACAGGAGGTTGGGGGGGTTGGTTTGTTTTTTGATATTTTACTGTAGTCCCCCAGAGCAGGTTCCTCGGATATGGGTGTTTGAGTGAGGCTTTGCAGTATCTGCTGCTAAGCAAAATGTTGATTTTTGCAAAGATATTTTTTTTTCCCATGTGTCTCTGAAGGTCAAAAATTTGCCAGACCCAAGGGGAATGAGGCTGAAATAACTTGTTAAAACATCCCTGGTGGAAAACTTCATTTGCCTTAGAATTTATATGCTGTTTCCTTACTGCCCAGTCTTCTGTATCCCTGCGTGGGTTTGACTAATCTTTGCCTGTGACTCAGAACACAGATGTGTTGGGAAGTTCGTTGTGGTTTGGTTGTTTGTTGGTTGTTTTTTTTTCCCTTTTGAAAAGTGAAGTGAAAATTTATCAACCTGTACAGTTAAGTGAGAGCTCAGCCAGACAAATGAGGAAGACAGATGTTTGCACAGAAGGAGCCCTAACCTGCTCACTGCACTTGTTTGCTCTCAGTTGATATCAGCCCTGCCATAAAGCCTCTAAATATGGGCTGACAACTTCCTTGTGAGTCCAGTACCACTCTGAATCCAGCTTCTGGCTCCTGAAGGCTGGGACCGTGTTGCTGGGACGCAGAACCTGCAGCTGTCAGGTGAGGTGCAGAGCAAGCAGGGGTAGCCCAGGGCTACCCTGGCACGGCCAGCTCTGCCCGTGTTGGCGTTTGCTGGTTTTGGCAGATGCAGCAGGGAGGTGGGGAAGAAAATGACAAAACTTTCTTAGTCATCAAGATAACAAATGACTGGGCTTGTTATTAATAGTTTATGTGCGTCTCTAATTAGTGAAAGTAAAAATTTTTCTGAAAGCAGAGCAGCCTGGCTTCTTTCAGAAAACCAGCTCACGGGAGGGCTAGAGTGGGCTGTGGTGGTTTGTGGCATGATTCTCAGGGGTGGAGGAGGAAGAAGAGGCAGCCCAGACCTACAGTGTGAGGGGGAACACAAAAGTGGCAGGGACCTGTTGCTGCACCCCTGGTGCTATTTGGCATGCATGTCTAGTTTCGAGAAGACCCAAACCTGCTCTGCCTTGACCAGTGCCAGGTCTGGCTGGGGACGCGTCCCTCCTGTGCTGACTGCAGCAGGATGGGGCTTTGGTGGGGGCCTTGAGGAGCCGCAGCTCCCACTGGCTCAAACTGGTCCTTATTGTGGTTCTGTAGCCTGAGGTCATGGAAGGGGCTGCTTAAACACAACCCTGGGGGGGCACCTGCTCCTCTGACTGTTCACAAGTAGAGCAAACATTTTTACAGTCATTCAAGATGAAGAATTAGAATATAAACACTACATTGTGGAAAGTGTTTACAAAAGTTTCAAATTATTATTTTCTAATCTTCCAATTCTGTCAAAAAAAATCCAACACAAACAAAAAACCTTGACAGGTCTAATTTTTTTGGTCAAAACTAGGGGGTTTTTTTGATAGTTAAAATGTTAAAATTAAAATAGAACTTTGGAAATGTCACTAAGGCAGGTCCCTCTGGGGGTGTGTGTGCACTCCTGTGTGCAAGAGTGGGCACAACTGCAGACAGAGAGGGATGCTTTTTAAACTATAGTATAGGATAGGTACACCATTACCTATGGATAAACTTAGCCAGGAAATGAGAATACTTTGGCTGTCAGGGAGAAAGTGGCAGAAGGAAATCAGAGTAGTTTGAAAACAAAGGTCATACATTTCATGAACAGGATTTCACAACCTGTTGGTCTGTGATAGCAAAAGCTGGACTCTGTGATGCACCATTTCTCCTTGTCATATGTTTTTGTACTGGTTATACACACCCAACTGACCTATTGGACTTGGGCACACTGCTGACTGTTTACTACCATGGAAGCTAGAGATTTTACTATCCTTTAATAATTTAGAAGGATGACCTCAGTGTTGGCTGTCACCAAGGCCTTTGCCTCAGGGTTGCAAGCTTATTCTCTCTGTGGTGGAAACCCTGCAGTAGCAATATTACTTACTTTTAGTATTTGGCCAAACTGCAGCAGAAATCCAGTGGTTAACTTTGTAAAACCATCACATTGCTGGTGATGCTGACAGTACATCATATCAACCCCAGGCAACAACCCAGAGCTCAGCTTTGCTACAATCCCAGCCTAGCCATGACAGCTGCAGCTTTATTCAGGCACAAACACACATCCTTGTATTTCAGTTTGGAGAACAGTTATTTCAAAGCTGAGAAACCATTTCAGTAATTAAAAGGTAGGCAAATTAATCTTCATCTTCAGACCATGCATTAAAAAACAACAATTAGATGTAAAAACGGTTACACTTGTGGAGAAACCTGTGAGGAAAATTGGTCAAGTCCACTGGCTAAAATAAGCAACACTTTGGTTTAGATGGGAAAATACACATGGTAACTGCGTTCCCCTTATGTATATGACTGTCTGCCACTTTTAACAGAGTGCCACATTTATTCAGTAGAAGAATACCTGAAATTATAAGGCTAAGTGGAAAAGTAAAGATCAAAGTCATATGAGGTGGGGTTATTAACTAATTACCAGGTTTTCCTGCTG